AGCCTCTAAATAGCCTCCCTCCCCGCCCCTGCTTACTTTTTTTTTTCATCTTACTTTATTTTTCTTTATCCACTAATCCCCACCTGACATCATCCATCACTGCTCTCTCCACAGCGCTGAGAGGTAGCTGGCACACAGTAGGTTTCGGTAGTCCTTGCATGAATGAATTTAAAAGATATTAATAAGAATTGCAGGTTTTACAAATGTGACCAAGACTTATAACTTAAATGATTTGCTCATGATTATGCAACTTTTAAGTCACAAATCTGGGATTTACACCTATATGTGAAGGCAAAGCCCTTGTTCTTTTCACAAGCGCTCCTCTAAATGCGTAAGTCTTTACAGAGCTGTTAATTTGTCCTCTTTTGTTGAACACTGTTAAGTGAAAGACACTCGGCTGGGAGTTACATGGAAGTTCTTGCCTTCAAGAGTCTGACAGTCTCTAGCTAGGAAGAAAAATATCTGGAAATCAAATGACAAGTGTAAAGCAGTGTCTAGTCAGGGAAGGAATCTCAGAGGCGGTAACAGGAGAGAAGCGTGAGCACTTTCACTTAGCTGGGCGGCCTGTAGTCTGTGGAAACGAACAAGTAAATTGGGTTTTTGTACAACCCTTCTCTCCGGCTATGGAGTATAAATCCCTGTTCCCATTTAATGCCAGAGAATAGTAGGTTCTCCCCACCCCGCTGCTTTCAGCAGAGGGGAGATGGTGGAAAGTGACAGAAGAAAGGCACATTTTGAAGTGAGTTTGGAGAGTTCCTGGGCTTACTAAGAAATGAAAAGGTAGAGAAAAACAATTGCAGGAACTGAGGTTGTTCTGCCTAGAAAAAGTATGGAGGTAGGGGTGAGGTGAGAGCTAACTTCAAAAAGTCTCATACTGGGGAAGTCAGAAGTTTGTCGAGTGCCCCTACACTTGCTTGGTAAATATTTGAAGTTTCCTGCACTTGAAGGACTGTTGTCTCTTCCTGGAGGAGAGGGTTTAGATTCATTCTCCTGGGCAAGAAACGGTGGCACCAAAGGCTGAAAGCCCGAAGGAAACACATTTCTACTCAATACAAGATACACATTTAAAAGGAGAGCTGAGCGTGTCGTCTCAGTAGGTGGTGAGCCTGCGCGCCGGGGAGTTTCCAAACAGTGACTGGCCACTCCCGGGCGAAGCGGCCCCTGGGACCTTGACATCGTCGCTGCTCCATTCCCAGGTCCCCGACTGTGGGCGGGGACAGGGAGCTGAGAGCGCTAGCGCCAAGGACTCCAGCTGCCGCACGGCCCCCAGCCCGGGCGTGGCGGGCCGGCGGCGGTAAGGGGCGCGGAGAACGCTCTCGGGTTCGGGCTGCAGGTGCCGGTGCTGGTGCGACGCGGGAAAAGCGCGCAGCATGCTCACCGCGGTGGCGAGCCGCCTGCGCCTCGGCCGGGGACGCTTCGTCCGCTGCCCCCCTTTTCCACCCTGGGGTCTTACCTGCTACTCCAGCGGCCAAACCCCCGGCGGTTCTGGGCCCCAAGGTCCAGGTGAGCCCGAGTTCAGGCGGGAATGGCCTGGAGGGAAGTGGCTACAGAAGGGCGGACGACGGGACCGGGCGGGGAGTCTAGGCTTGAGCGCGCGCTGATCCACCGTGCCGTGGGTCTGTTCCCGGGACCGTCTCTGTTGCTTTCTCAGCAGGGAAGGTTCACAAGGTCCTCGCCCAGCACAGGCCTTCACAATTCGACAAGAAAATCCTGCTGTGGACCGGGCGTTTCAAATCGATGGAAGAGATCCCGCCTCAGGTCCCGTAAGTGTGCCGGTGACGCGCGGGGGGAGTCGGGCCTGGCCACGAGGGGATGCGGGGTTCTCTCACCACCTCTGCGCCGCGCAGCCCGCAGCGAAGTCGGCCGCAGTGCCACGCAGTTCGCAATAACACCCGCCACGTGAGGAGTTTACCTAGGCCCCCCAAGGGCGGCTAAACGTCAAGTTCCTTGACTAGGCGGTGGGCAGCTAAGCTTTACAGGGAGATTGCAGAGGAGTGAAAATCCAGTTCTGTGGGCACTTCCACCACCGCCCAGCTCCGAGCAGGCGGACGAGGCAGTGGGGCCCCAGGCCAAACAGAGGGCACGGTCCTTGGGCGCACCTGGTGTTTGCAGGGCGGCTGGAAGGGGAGAGGGACTCTCGCCCGGGGGCGGCTCGCTACTCTACCCAAGGAAGGGGTCCGTAGGTCGTGGCTCGTGGGGCGGCTGAAGGCTCTGGGGGAAGAAGCTGCACCCACGCGGCCTCCTCTTCTGTGGAGACAGACGCCTGGAGGACGAGGTTCTGCGGCCTTCCAGGCACCGGGTTTACTCGGGTTGGGACGCGCAGCCTGGTTGACCTCTTCGGCGCTAAACCCACCAAGACAGAGGGGAGCTAAATGGTAAATGATAAAACTCAAGCTAACAACTTCACGTCTAGGGTAATGTAACCTGTAAAACAAATAAATAGATGGATCGATAGTAAATGTAACCTGTAAAAAACCATCTTTCTGCAGCTTCAGTTCATGCCTTTCGCAGCACTTTTACAAGGGAATGAGTAAAAAGAGAGGAACAGAAACTAAGAATAAAATAAATCTACTTCTTTTTAAACTGATTTTTTTTAAAGGAAGACTAAAACCATAATATCAAAGAAGGATTTCAGAGATTCTGTATATTATAGTTGTACAATGTAATGAATGCCCATTAGAATGGATAAGGGAAACTCGGCCTGTATCTTGTTCTTCAAATATTGCCTGCAGTTTTATCGTTTTAGTTTACCATTTACCCAAGCATCTCAAGAAAATGGCGGGGTAGGGGCCAGACAGGTAGGGGGAAATGTACAATCAATAATGAATTCTGAAATATTTTCCTTACTTTCTTGGATCAAGTTACTTAATGAGGAATGGTCATGAAATTTGAAATAGCATGGCATTTGAAATCTGTTTTCAGCATTTATGCAACTACAGAGATATTTTCTAATATTACAAATTTTGTTTTCCTTGAGATCTGTAGACTCCAAACTACAGACTTACCCCAAAGCAGAAATTAGCCTTAGAAAAGACGTTATCATCACAAGCTCTGGTTATCAAATTTTAATGGATACCTGAGAATTTAATACTTTAAATGCCAAATGAAGAAGTAAGAAGAACATAAACAAAACAAAAAACAAAACACCACCCTCGATTTGTTTGAATTTTGATTTCTAATGCCATAACAGAGTAATCAAGAATGTAAAGAACCAGCATTATTGTAATTTAATGTTTGTCAGGAGAACCTATGCCCAGTGCTCAGTATTGTATTAACATAGCTGTATATGTGGAGAGACCCATTTTACAGAAGTAATTTGATTTCCCCAGGGACACAGTCAAAAGAAGTGTTATAAACAGGAGCATTTAACTATAAACAAGATGCCTGTAAAAAGCGTTGTAGTTTTGGGTTGGAAACATGAAAGTATTTTTCATTTTATTATTTTCTAATAATCTTTTTTTCAAGTATTGCTATTTAGGAAGTATTTTCCTATTGAGCTAAGTGTTAGACTTATGATACAAACAGCTTTCACTTTTTATGCGCTTTATGGACGTATACTAAACAAGTGACCTACAATTTTTGTATCATACACTAATTATATTTAATAATAACTGTACTTTTTCTTGTTATTTCAGTGCTAAACTAATTTGGTATAACAGATCAAAGCCAAATGGATGGGTAAAAAGGATCAGAGCTTTTAGGTTCCATCTGGAACAAAAGTTAGCAACAAATATAATCTAATAATGTCTCCATATATCCAGTGTCACTGATAGAACCTGTTTGCAACTAACATGTTAAAACTTACATTATTCTGCCTAAAATCCAAGGAAAA